ATATATATATATATATATATATATATATATATATATATATATTGTGACTTGTTGGGGAAGATATTAAAAGATGGAAATCTCATATGCTTAAATTTTCTGTTTAAATTAATTAATTATTAAAAAAAATTATTCATCCTCTCGAATGGAACTTATAATAAATATACTCTCCTTCCGGAGGGTACATAAGAAAATGTCCTCCTTTCTTGTGGATCGGGCCAAACGCCTCGGCAGGATAGATGCATCTATGGATCGCGCCGCACATCCCTCGGCAGTGTGCACGACACTCTGGAATGGGTCATACGACCTCGGCAGAAATCGTGCCTAATAATAATAATAAATACACGATATCTCAATGTTTTTAATTTGCAGGTTGTGAATTTAATTAATAGTATGGAAGTTGTTGAAATTGAAAGAATTTAATTATTTCTGCTGATTTAATAAAATTATTGTTAACTCTGTGAATCATGCTAATTTAAATAAATTCTATTTTATTCTATTTATTATTGCTGACCCTTAGTGAGTGTCAAAGTCGACCATCTCGTCTCTACCACTTCGAGATTAGGCTTGATACTTACTGGGTACACGTTGTTTACGTACTCATACTACACTTGCTATACTTTTTGTGCAGGACCTGAGGCAGGTACTTGTGGAGGACATATAATCTTACACCCACGTTATCGAGAGGCATAGTGGTGAGCTGTCTTTCTGAGCCATTCTGCAGCTACTAGTGTCTCTCTTTGTATTTTCATTCTGTCTATTTTTATTCGAGATAGTATTTAGAGTTTTGTATAATCTACTAGATGCTCATACACTTGTAACATCAGGTCTTGGCACACACATTGGTAGAATTTGAAATTGTATTATTTTCTTGGATTTAAGTTAATCGGCATCTTTTCTAATTTCTTTAATATTTCTAGAAAAATAATAAAAATTACTTTGAAAATTATTCTGAAAATAATTGATATATGTTTAATTTATTTATTGGCTTGCCTAACTGTAGTGTTGAGCGCTATCACGACCTATACGTGAAATTGGGTCGTGACATGATATTTAAAGAATACACTAAGGACCCATTCAAGTAACTTGAATTTAACATTATTTTTTAAATTAATTGACCAAATTAGAACATGAGTGCATATCTCATAGTAAGGAAAAGACCAAAAGCGTCTTTCGGAATTGCAATCTGACCAAGAAATTTGCATTTGCAGTAAAATACCATGTTTGCATCACACTTCAGCATTGAGCATTGGATCATCTTCGTCCATGCACAATTTTTTCAACTTGAAGTTTGCCATTCCTAACCCTAGGATTTCATACACAAAAATTGGGGAAGAAAATAAAAAATCCTTAACAGAAAAACGACATCAAAGGGAGGAATTTACACAAAATTCACTTACGTCTTCAAACAAAAGAAAATTTGAATTCAAAAACCAGCTTCAAAAGTCTTGAAAATGCCCGGTAAAATGGGGAAGAAGAGCGTTTTATGTTTGAAGAAAAGCTCTTCCAAATCAGCTTTGAAACTGACACGTGACCATTTTGTATAGGCTAAAGCCTTTTTCTTTTATTTACTACGCGCTCTAGGGCAGTGTTTTGACGTACGACTCCAGCTAAGCACATAAGGTCTAAATAATTAAGGAAAAAAAAGTTTAGTGGAGTACTAGGAATCTCGTAAAGAAAAAGTGTTTAGCTGGAACTTTGGTTATAGGTTGGGGGTTACTTATATATTTTCCTTTTTTCTTTTCGTAAAAGAAAATATCAATTATGATATATATGTTACACTTCCTTCAAGAAATAGGAAAACTAAATATGGTAAAACAAATTAGGACAAACACCTAATAATTCTCTTCATTTGCCTAAATTTTCTCACAAAATAAACTGATCCACTTTTTTCACATAACCTTCAACAGGTGCATCTCTAAATCTCCACCATAAAGTTTATCTCGACGTGAATACCACTCTATGTTAAATTCTCAGACCAAAAATATGATTATCGTCAAATATGTTGCGGCTAGAACTAAACCTGCCTTGATGAACCTGGCTTGAACCTTGTTTCTATACCACTTGTTAGGATCGAAATAATCAGGTGTAACGATCTGATTGATAATTTTGAGAATTCGCATCCCGTTTGGTGGCTTAAGTTCTCGAGCAGTTTTATTTTATATATTATTACTTGCATGTGTGATCGAGTTCGATTTTTCGGATGAATCGGGATTGATTTGGAAGAACAATTCTTGTTTTAGAAGTTTAAGTGAAAAGAATTGACCGGAGTTTGTCTTTTGTAAAGATGACTCAGGAATAGTATTTTGATGATTTCAATAGTTTCGTATGGTAATTTTGGACTTAGTCATGTGTGCGGATTTGGATTCGGAGGTCTGTAGGTTGATTTGATGCATTTTGGCGAAAATTGAAAAGTTGAAGGTTTGGAAGGTTGAAAGGTTTGACTATGAGTTGACTTTGTTGATATCGGGTCCGTATTTTAATTTCGGGAGTTGGTAAAGCTTCATTGTGTCATTTAGAACTTGCATGCAAAATTTGACTTCATTCTCGGTTGATTTGATATGATTCGGCGCGAGTTGTAGAAGTTGAAAATTCATAAGTTCATTAAGTTCGATTTGAGATGCGATTCATAGTTTTGATATTGTATGATGTGATTTGAGGCCTCGAGCAGGTCTGTGTTATATTTTTGGACTTATTGGTACATTTGGACGGGGTCCCAAGGGGCTCGAGTGAGTTTCGGATAGGTTTGGGTTGTGTTGCGCTCGTTTTTTATATTTCGACTTTGTTTCTTCAAGCATAAATAGTACCACAAATGAGTTTCAATTTCTGTTTTTATTAAAGCATTAGATCTGTATCGTAATTACGGAGCCTTATAAAAAAGAATCGTCGAATTTGGACATCGTATGAGGAAGTTATGCTCATTTTAGTGTCGGGGAAGTGAGCTGGCGCTGGTGTTTCGCAGATGCGAAGTTGGATCCGCATTTGCATCCCCGCAGTTGTGAGAAATAGTCCGCAAAAGCGAAAATGACAGCTGAAAATGCGCAGGTGCAGATTTTTTATCGCAAAAGCAAAATTCCTGTGTATAAAATAATCAGACCGTGTTCTTTTGGTATTTTGAGCATAACTTGAGTTCTAGAGCTCCGGTTGAGGTGATTTTCGCGGCGTTGTTCTCGTCTTTTCATGGGGGTCAGTATATGTTTTTGTATTTTAATATGATTACAGAAGTTTGTCTTGGAATATTAACGTTTGTTTTGAAATTTCAAAGAATTATATTGGACAAATTTTAAAAATTTATCATGGTGAATGTATATATAATATTTACGTCTTCCTGTGATTCTTGAAATGGCTACAGGTATGTAATCAATTAAATTAAATTCTCGTTAAGAATTCCCATCTTGCTAATGAATTGATATAAAACCTCCTCTTTATAAGCATAACCCTCCAAAAGCCCATTCCTGTTTGTAATCTTTAGCAGCTCAAACCCTCTTTTAACAATTTCAACTTTTGGACTCTTCTTAGTAGGTACATAGTCCATTTCCTCATATTTCTCTTTATATGTATCAAGGTTCCATGCTTCAACTTATTTTGCATGTGTTGTTGCCTTTCACTTTATAAATTTTTTTTTCTGTTATGAATAATTTTTATTCGCAATAAGCGAAATACCTAATTAGAGCTACCGGATACTTCTCACATTTACATGAGGTTAATTTTGTTCCTTGTGTTGTTGTTATTGTTATTGTTTCCTTTTTAACTATATATTGTTGTCTAAGTTACCTCTTGAGTCTAACTAACATAGTACTCCGTCCGTTCCAATTTATGTAAACCTGTTTGATTGGGTACGGAGTTTAAGAAAAAATGATGATTTTTGAAATTTGTGGTCTTAAACAAATGAAAAGGGAGTCTAGAGTATTTGTGTTGCTATAAAAGCTTCTCATTAAGGATAGAATTGAAAGTTTAAGCTAAATTATTTTCAAATTCAGAAAGGGTCATTTTTGGCACTTAATAAATACTTTTCGCAAGAAAACTCTTTGATACTTGTCCGCTCTTTGAGACTGACAAGTGATTGAAGAAATTGTCTCTCTTTATGATCCGCAAACACAGAAAGGTGTGAGGCACTCTCGACTTCCGTGATTTTAGTACGGTCACTTTAACAATTACTACTTGGTCCAATTATCTGATTACATATTTTAGACCTATTGTGCATTTTACTCTTTAAACCGTTTTTAGTATTTATAGAATTTATTTGAATAAGTCATGATGTCGCGCACTCATTGTTTTTGTACATATTGCAAATCGTGCCACGTAAAACGCATCCGCGAATTATAACAAGTTTATTTTTATTATTATTTGACGTTGTGGTCAAGTCGCGTGAAACGCGCACTTGAGTTGGGATTTACTATCGTGACCATGCCACGAGAACCGTACCCATAGTCACGATAATTTCTTTAAACATGCTTAAAGCAAACTAAGAGATTCATGAACGGTTTTCCTAACGATAATTTGGGATTATGAGACCGGCTCAAAAAATTATGGAAAATCACTTGTGGATACATGTGCAAAGATTGAGCATATTTTAAAAGCTTGCTTGAACCAATGATGCATCGAAGTGTTATTCTAGATTAACGTAATGCAATGTTATAAGTAAACCAGTGTTTCGAATTTCCGGCCGAGAGGATGGAAAGCAAATTAATTGGGTGATGTCTCAATTCGTGATTTTTGTATTTAAACGCCTAACGCAAGGATGGCTGATGCTTATTTAAAGGCCATATTGTGACCTTCAGCAAGTCAGCGAATGGGCTTCCGAGTTAAAGCCCAACAACTTCTAGTTTAATTACAACTGGCCAAAACTTTGAAAACTACATCATTAGTCACAAACTGGGCCTAGACATTGGGCCAGCATGGGGAGGGATGTGCCTGACTCCTGGCCCCTTTTGTTTGGGCTCATCTCAAACAATTAAACAAGCCCAGAATTCATACAGAAAATACTCATGGCTCGACCAACATCCAAACAGAATAAACGTTTAATCAAATGACAATAAAATCGGCTTCAAATCAGTAATGTTAACATAAAATTATACACAAATCTTTATCATAATGAATCACATAGACTACAACTTTAACCGTAAAATTCATTCAATTAGCCCACCTACACTCCCTTTGATGGCTTCAAGAAAACAGAGTAATCCTTAAATATGACTCCTTATACCTTCCAAATGGTTCAGTTAATAAGAGAAGAAGTCAATAACACTAGATTAGACAAATAGGACTCAAAACAACAATCATTGCCCGTGAACTAACCAAATTACATATGATTCAACTTCTTAGAGATAAAACTTCAGTTTATTCAATCACAGACATTATAGACATGATATATCACATTTAGAACCAGCTGAACATCACGTTACATGTGGATGACAGAAACATAACAATAGCCACAAAACACCATTTATCTCATGAAACCAGTCATTTTAATGAAAGAGATGAATTACAAGTTGATGTATGTGTACCTAAATCTGCAGAAGTAAAACAGAGCTACCAGCAACGAAGCAGCAACAGAGAAACAAGGAGAAATCTGAACTTCAAACTACAGCTCAACCCAGTAGAATAAATACAGCAGCCCAAATAGCGAGTTTTCAACTCAAACAGCTATGGAATCAAGATATATGCAGCCACAATATGGGGATGAGAAACAGCTCTGAATCCTACTTCTTTTTTTTTTTGGTTTTTTCTGTATTTAAATTGGATTTTTAGAGTGTTATCTTTAAGAGAAATCAGTGAGGATGAGAGAATGTGTGTGAGATTTCTGCAGAGAAAATTAGTGTCCCCCTTTAGTGAACATGTAGGGGTCTGTCTGAGAGCCTTCTGCCAGCCCCCAGCCCCCTAAAAATCAAGACATCAACATCTTTTCTCAAGAGAAATGGACAGCTGTCCCTTTTTAGATATTCTTCCTATTTTTCAGCATCTTTTCTTGACAGATTTTGTACCAGCTGTCTCTTTTAGATACCCTTCTCCCTTTTTAACCCCTTTTCTTTACTGTATTCACTCTTTTCAACCCCCAAATCCCACGAATTCCCCTTCTCTTTATCAATTTATTGCTATCTGGTCCCTTTTTTATTTCTAGAAACTTCCTAGCAGTTACATGAAGATTCCTTCCAAATTAAATCTCTAAATTAACATTTTATCATTATTAATTACTAACGACCAGGAACATATGCCCAAACCCTTCTCAATCGTACCCAATTTCCCACTCAGAATTCAGATCCAACGGGCCTAAGTGAACTAACAATCTCTACTTGCCACCACAGTAATGCAACTTCAAACGTAAACCCAATTAATCAAACTCAAGCTTTGATACTTACATGTGAACATGCTAAAACAAACTTAATATCAATTAGTTCATTGTCAAGTTTAAAACAAGTAAATTGAATTAGAGGCAATCTGAAAATGGCTATTACAGTGAATAATTGGAAAACAAATGAGTATGGATAGAGGGGATTACCAATACATTCAAAGAATTCCGGTCAGCACATAGAACTCCGGCGAGCAAACGAGGCAGAGAGAATTCTGGCCGGTCAAAGGTGGATTGACCAAGATCCAGCGGTTTCGGAATGAACAAAAACCAACGTCAATCAATTGTTCTTGTTAAGAACAATCGATCGACGTAGGTTCTTGGTCAAAACGAGTTGAAATTACCGCGAAAATCGAAAAGGGGGCAGATTTGTTCTTGGTAAAATCTTAGATCTACTAGAGATAGCGTTTGAGACAGATTTAGGTAAAACGGGTAAGGGATTTGGAAAGAGGGGCGGATGGGGATTGTATGGTGTTAAATTAGGGTCATTTGATGTGTGCCGCCGCCATAGGGCGATCTCCAGCGGCGGCTTTACGCGGAGGGTAAGAGAGGAGTAACAGATGGGAGATATGGGGAAATGAAGGGGGTTCTAGGGTTTGGGGGGTCTGTTAGGACAAATATAAGGGATGGGGAAATCAGTTCCGGTCCGTTAGATCTAGCTTGATGAACGGCTGAGATTTGCTTGACACCCAAACAGCGTCTTTTGGTCTTGGGGTGGGACTGGACCGGATCCATGTGGGTCTGGGCTGGGCGAATTTGAACAATTGTTTGGGCCATATGGCCCAGCAGAATGCTTCCTTCAATTTCTTGCCTTCACTTTGTTTTAAATGGCCACTCTTAATTAAATCCTATATCAAATCTAATTTGCAAAATTAACCTATTCATTTGTTTTAATTCAAATTAAGCTAATTAAAATATTGAATTAACTAATTGACTAATTAACTGCAAATGTAAAAAGAAAAGAAGAATAGCTAATTGTAATTTGTAATTTGTAATTTTTATATTTTAACAATGCAATTAATGTGTGATTACATCCTAAACATGCAATTAAATCTAAAATGCAACAAGTGAAAGATTAAAAAAAATTGATGATTTTTAGGATTTTAAAATATTTCTAAATATGCATGAATGCAACTAAATGCAAATAAATGCAAACAAATATCCTAAAAATTCTAAAAATTCAAAAGACCCCAAGTAAGGATTATTTTTTGTGGGTTTTTAGGAGAGTTGTCTGAAGACTTATGTATATTTTGATTTAAAAAAAANGTCATAGATTTTGCCTACATTTTGACCAAATCCCAAATCCCAATTTTCAATAGCTGGTTTTGGGCCAAAATATTACTATTATATTTTTTAAAAATTGCCCCAAATTTTTGTATTTTATAAAAGAGCCAACCATTTATTATTTTGTAACGATGTTGCTTCGTCTTCTCGGTCATCTGATAGTGTATCATGTAATTCATTATAAAAATGATAATTTTGTATCGAATTTATTTATGTTCAGGACTATGGTTTGCTTTAATATAATTAATGTTATTGATAATGGTATTGTTGGGTATTTGTGATAATTTTTAGAAATTGTGGGTATAAGTCATGTTTCATGTTTTTCCAAACCAAACTTCACCCAAAACAGATGTCCAAACATATTTTCATCTTCAAACCAAACTTCACCCAAAACAGATGTCCAAACATATTTTCATCTTCAAACCAAACTTCACCCAAATCAGATTTTTCAGAATAAATTTGAAAATTTATGATCAAACGCTAGCTAAATTGCTCCCAAGTTCTACCAACCAAACACCACCATTATGGATAAGCCCATTGGATTAGAATCCCGTCCCAATGTCCACAACCTCCAGCAAAATAAAAGCCTCAGGAACATGTACAAGTAAAAAATATGTATTAAAAGTTAGTATTGCGGCTCAATTACAGTGATCTCTGCCAATTCAAAAGCCACTACTTAGCGATTAAAGAACCTCAGTGAGGTCAGAATATAGAGCATATATATTGGCCAAAACTTAAAAGCACATTAGTAGACAAAGGAATTGCATAAAGAAGCCTAGATATAAGCCTCAAATTCCTTCTAGGAATATAGAATTAATGTGTCTAATTTATCTATGGAAACAGTACTTATGGAGGAAAGCATATCATTTTAGATTTGATAAATGGGTGTTACAAGAATGCGATTCTAAGTGCGTTCATTTACAATGCACACTACATGGTTTCTCTGTTACAAGTCATTATGTGTTTTTATATCTCTTAACCTACTGCTCCAGCATAGTCGGATGCAGTACGTACGGGTTCAACTGAATTCATAACTTTTGACGCGGAGTAAAAATTTGTATGTAAAAATTCATTAAAATTGTAAAAATAGTAGATATGAACTCATAACTTTAAAAATATAATGGGTTCAATGTTAAAAACCTTAAAATTGAACTCATAGGATTTAAATCCTGGATTCACCTATGTGCTCCAACCTCTGCTTTCAAGAATTTGGACATTAAAGGTGACAAATGGGGTGGGCCGGGCCGGGTTGACTTTTTGTTCGGTAACCAATTTTTCCAAAACGAGTTTAACGGGTCCGGGCCCATTCGGTGAAATAGTGAACCGGAACGGTTCCGGGCCTAAGGGGCCGGGTTTATTTAATTTATTTATTTATTATATTTTGTATAACTATCGTAATTTATATTAATATAAAGTAAAAATATAAAACAAAAAAATAATCTTATAAAAATAGTGTTTGAATAAAGGATGCAAAGGCTTTAAAATTCTTATATTTAAAATTTCATTAAGAATTTAATATAATAGAATACAATGAAGATGGATAAAAATTTCACTTATAATTTGCAATTTTTTTTTATTTCAAACTTTCAAATTAAAGTTTACATTTAACAATAACTAAATTAACGAAAAAAGAGTAAATTCAAAGTTTAATTATTAAATATAAATCTAGAACTTCAAAGGTTTTGCATTGGCTTAGTAGGTTCTTCATAATCAATATGAACTCCTTGGCCATTTTCTAGAGCATTAAATTTAGATGAGTTGCCATGTGTCAATATATCTCCAAGTTCCTCGTCTTCTGGTTTATCAACTTCTTCACGTCCCTGATTTTTTAGTTCCGATCTAATCCAATCTCTGAAATATACTAAAACTTCCAAAGCATTGCTTTTCAATGAGTGACGGGTGTCTCCTAATTGTTGTCTTGCTTGACTAAATGCACTCTCTGATGCAACAGTTAAAATTAGCACATTCAGCATGTCACATAGCGGAAAGAACGGAAAATTACTTTGCATTCTCATGCCACTATCCCAACGGTGAAAATTTCTTTGTGCGAGGCTCTGTTTGCTTTTGCAAGTAGAATTGAAGTTCATCAATATTCCTGCTACTGGTTTGAGTGGAAGGAAATGTAGACCAAATATTATAACCATCAACTCCTTCATCTTCATCCATAGTAGTAGATGCAGTAGAAGTGGTACAATGCATAGTGGGATTAACATTGCATACATTAATAACAGTATCATCAATTATATTTGCATAATAATTATATAATTATTGTAAATAATCATTTTGCTTGTTCATACAACAATATATATCTGGGGTTTCAGTTGGTCCAATCTCCATATAAGTATATAAAGCATTGATTGATTGGTGACAATCAGACAACTTAGTAGAAGGATTTAAAACAGTACCAATTAAGTAAATTAAAGGAATTGGAAAGAAATATTTTTTGAATTTTGCTTGCATTTTTTCAACAGCATCCTTATATTTTTCTTTCTTCTAAAATTCAAAAAGTAGAAAAGAATTTTCAGCTATATGTACTAAAGCCATAGTAACAGTAGGGTAGTATGCTCCAGAAAACTCAACAGTAGTTGTATAAAATTTATGTAAAAGTTTAACAACATCATTAATGGCCTCCCAAGTATTAGTAAATACGAGAAAGAGTTGGAGGAAGTGCACCGAATTTCATAATAAATTGAACACTTGATAATTTTTGCAACTCCAATATTACCACGAAGAAACGTCAATTGTCCAAAGTTCAAAGTTCAAACGTCAAATAATACGATAAATTAAATTTCAATAAAAATGAGAGCCAAATAGTTGATTACAATTTAGGTGAAGAATGAGAGAATGACAATTAAGAATTTGAGTTTGACAAATGAGCGATGAGTGAAGAAATGAAGAAAAGGAGGGGGTGTATTTATAGTTTTTCAAAGAGCTAAATTAGTAATTATTAAAGTTGTTATTTTTAAAAAATAATTGCCCAAAAAGGGCTATTTATGCAAAATATCCGTTGGGCAACGGTCAAATTGGAAGTTGATCGTTGCCAACGGTCAAATGAATTTAAAAAAAAATCAGAAAATAGCCGTTGAACCGGTTCGGTTAACCGGCTCAACAGTGATTTTCCTTGACAGGACCGGTCCGATTAACTGGTAATGCAAATTTAAATGTAGCAATCCCTTAACCCTCAAACCCAGCCCTACCTGGCCCCTACTACAGGTCCGTATCGGTCGGGGTTAATACCGGTCTGGGGCTAAACACCCATAAATTTGGTGCAGCACTTTATTGAAGCCATAGCACACATCATTGCACTAAAACATGACTACATATTGATTATAGAGAGAAGTGTCTATTTGACGTCTGCAATCAATGTGTAAGTCAACATTTAGTAAAGATTTAGATACTTGACATTGAAAGCTTCTTCCCCCCTAAAATTTTACAATGTTGACTTTGTTCCTCTTTCTTTGGTTGAAATGATTGTCTTAATTTTGATTTTGTCACCATCCCAAATTTCCTCCGTAGGAGATCGTGATGGCACCTAGTCTCTAAGACTAGATAAGCCTATTAATGCGGAATAATAATAAATATCTGAAATAAATAAACTACAATTCAAATAATTACAACTCCCAAAATCCGATAGAAATAAGTCACAACCTTCTAAGAATTTATTCTATATGCCTCTATATATTAGAGTCTAAATCAAATAAGGAAAATAACATAGTAAGATAGAAGGGGACTCCGGAATCTGCGGACACGGCAGATATACCTCGAAATCTCCTCGTACAGCTAGTTTACTGATGCCTGGTCTGGTAGGATGTACCTGGATCTACACAAAAAGATGTGCAGAAGCATAGTATGAGTACACCACAGCGGTACCTAGTAAGTGTCAAGCCTAACCTCGGTAGAGTAGTGACGAGGTCAGGTCAAGCCCTACTGGAAAAATAAACAATGGCATGGTAAAAATGTTTAACAATATAATAAGATAAAATGACAATGGAAATGAATCAAGTAGTATATCACCATTTAATTACACCAAATAATGGCAAATAATACCTCGCGGAAACAAAACAGAATTCTTTTCAACTTTAAGAAAATCACAACAATAATCAAAGGCAACTGCGGCCATAAATCAATATCAACAAGGGCACTCCCGAGGTACCGGCTCGTAGTCCCAAATCATAAATAAATTCACAATATCTCATTTTCTTATATCACCGCGAGAGCCTTCACAATCAATTTTAAAGAAAATATTTTTCCCCTAAATAGCATCCCGCGTTTTAGCCATCCTTATCACACCAC